GTGACAGCGACGCCTGCAGACCCTTCTCAAGTTACCTTTGTGATTTTCCAAGTTCGTACAGGAGTTCGTAGTGTTACTTGTCCCAAACTGCGAAATCAACTTAGTATATGAAGCTACGGCTTGGAGGTACGACCTACCTGTCTATTTGATAACGGAATCTCTGCAACAATGTTTCGCTAGTGGCAGACAGGACGCTAGAATCGGCAAAACAATGGGGCTAAGACGGAGTCTCAATTCAAAAGAGAGCCGCTTTTCCACGATAAGCAGCGTGTACTTTGGATAAATTAACAACGGCTCTATGTGAGTCACGGTATGAGCTCAGTGGCTCAGTGTGCTAGTCGCATCCTGTCCCTAGATAACCTTTTTATGGTCTGTGCGCGTGGAATCGATGACAGAGTGCATATCTCCGCAAACGCAACTGCATTTTCATCATCTACGGTTAGAGGTGTTTGATCGGTATCTCAAGAAGCGTGGAGCGAGACGGCTTCAACGCCGTGCAGGGGCGTTGCGGACACGACAAATCAGTGCAAGCAGTCCATCGTGATGCTCATCAGAAGACAAAAGTTTGGGGGATTAGATCCAGTTAACACACTAGCAGAATCGGGCACACTTGAAGGACGTTTTCTCAGGTGTAATGCGGAACAAGGAGAAGCCAGCGAGCTAGCCACCTGCCGGAAGCCGAATGTGCCGAGTCGAGCTAACTCCTGGCGCAGCCCCAAGCTTTGTTCTTGGTACAGACGACCACGAGAAACTAGGACTTCCATCTGAAGGAGCAAAAGGAACAGTTGCCTCAAGGGTGGCGGAAGCCTGCCTGACCGCTGCTCGAGCAAGCGTGGGCCATTTTGAGGAAATTCCTAAGGGCGCTGAGGTCCTCGAGAAGGGGGAAATTTTCAAGTAAGCCCTACAGTGTCCACGAGAAGCGCGGCAGCAGAAGAAACAGCGGCGCGACCGGTACCGGCAAAAGCCGCAACTGCCGCCTCCGAAGCACTTGAGCAGGACAAGGAAGAGGAAGAACGCATTGAGCACAAACGCCTGAACAGGCTGAAGAGGCAAGCGAAGACTGCTATAGTGAAGGGTCGCCTGAGGAGATGGATTTTGTACTTGAACGGGCGAGCGAATCGGAAAAGGCGCAAACGGCAGAAAAAGTAGGAAACGAACAAGAGCCAGAGGAGGCTGAAGATCCTGGGCCGACTCCCGAGTGCCTCAACTTGCTCCCGCTGGTGACGGCTTTGACAAGAAAACCTTTGCAGCGGCTGGCGTGAGCACTGCACATTTTCGTCCTTCGTCCTGCGGAGAGGAAAGCTTAGGTCCTATCCGGACGAGTTGCAGGGCCTGAAAGTATAGACAGGGATTTCCGTACAGCAAGCAGAACAGCTTAAAGAAACAGAGAGAAGCATCGATGCGCATCAGCTGCGCATAATCGCTGTTTTGATGCAAGCGGAGGAAGCCCTAGCAAAGGCGGTATATTGTGGGGAACTGCTGGTTTATTAACTCTGACAACTTGTTTCAAAAGGCAAGCAATGGAGAAGATTTTGCATAGTCTCCATCGGCTGATCCCTCTTATTTAACCTGCTTCAAGTCATGGAACCGACGGAGTGGCTTATGAAGACCGGCCGTACAGATGCCACAAAGTGTTTGGCCTCGTTGAAGGGGAAATAAAGACGCGGGAGGATTTACAGCAGGTTCTTGAGTCGGGAAAACAAAAGCTGGAAGCCGTTGTAAATGAGCTTCATGAGACGCCGCCCGATGGGCAAAGGGGCAGCGGGCTGCGAGCAATACAGGCTACTAGATAGGCTGCGCATGCGCGAGTATTGTTTTATAGAATAAGTTTACCTCCTCGCCCCCCAAGGCAACAACACTGAGGAATGGGTTGGAGACTACCTTGCCAACGGCCCAACTGGTGGAAGGCGCAGTGACCTTTCAAACTTTAGGCGTGCAGACCTCTAGCTCAGGGAAGTTCAGTCGTTGCAAAAGATGTATCACAGAGCTGCTGAGACCATGAAGCTTTGAGAATTCCAAAGTACTCCGATGATGCTCCCACCTCCTCTGGATATGCGAGACAGGCTCATGCGGAAAAGGTTAACCGAAGGGTACTCAACCTGTTGAAATCAGCACTTACTCCCCAAGCCCTAAGCTCAAAGAGGAGGAGCAAACGGCCTAACGAATTACCTTTTTGAAGGGACGGTACAGAAGGAGACTTCGAGGACACTCCCGGTGAGGTGCTAGCACGAGACGCCCCAGCTGCCATTCCTTGCAGCTGTGGGGCAAGAACGCTTCCTTATGCCATTGCTGGATTGTTCCACGCATTTGGCATATCTGTCCATTCACACTGGAAGCTGTGTACACTTCCGGAATTTTTGCTTATGCGGGCCCACGTGATGTTGGTGCCCGCCCCTGTGATTATGCATGCATGCATTAGTCCTGCGCTTTACTCGGTAGATGAGTGCATCGCTTGTATTACTTCAAGTGAGTGTTCACGCCCACTTGGGCTCGTGTGCTGAGGTAGCAACCAGAGGTCGGCCCGCCTGGCCGCAGCGCTTTGCTACCGCGGTTTTTGCCAAACGCTCAGGAAGCAGCGAATATTTGTAGTTTTAAGCGTTAAGTGCCTGATCTCTAGATTGAAATCCTGCAAGAAAACCCTAGAATCTGTAGATTTATCTCCAAAAGGCGAGGTATTAGAATACAAGCACGCCTAGGAAGTGCTTTTTACTGATCTTTCTGTGAAGCAAACGGACACAGATGTTCATATTGGGAGACACAGGCCCAGTACGCATATACTAATAAGGAACCTACAGTTGAACTGTTGACGAAATAGGGGACCGCTTAGGAAGGATATGTGGAATGAAAGAAACTGGGGGGTTGCGTGGATTGCTCAACTTTGCCGTGCAGGGAGGTGGACTTGGAGATATGAATTTGCCTTTTAGTTCTTCCAAAACAGAACGTGCAAGATAGCCAGTTGGTCTTCTCATTGATTCCCTCTTCTCTCAGTTTAATCAACAGTACTCGACAATCGGAGCGCAGTTTTCACCGGCGTCGGCGGCGACTCAACGGGCAGCACGCTGTTTGTGTCTTAAGGGGCTTACCGGTCATATTCCTGCTAAAACTGAAATTAAAAGCATCTCTCAGCATTTTTAAATGTATGGCCTGTGAGTTGGGTTCAGTTTCACCGTGGAAAGTACTCACTGCTTGGAGGTGCCTGCATGGTTTGAGCCGTCAACAACGCCTGCGGGAACACGAAGGCCACCCCAGTGAAGAGGTTGGTGCAGGCGCTCTCCGTTTGCCTGCATTTAATTTATTGGTTTCCCCTTTTTACTTCCGTGGTTTCCTTCCATACCGCGCAGCCGCCTCCGGGCGTGGGGCGTGGAGGATTCGTTTTACTGTGGCGATGGGACGCCAGCAAATTCTCGGTGGCTTGGGTCATCCTAGCTTCCTTATCAGTAGTCAAGCTTCAGTTTGAGCTTTTTCTGTATTCCTCTTTGAATTACCATTGGGGCAGCAGCTGGTTGTGCGCTCGTCCAGGTTGTTTTATGTGAAATCTTCTCGGGCGCTGCAGAAGGATGAACGTCGGCGTTCGCATATTTGGAGCTCAGTTTGGCCTTTACACATTTAAAAGTTATATGCCCATAATTGCAGCAGTCATTGTGGCAGCGGTGGTGGGAGAAATTGCACACAACGCCCGCATGAAGAGGCGGCGAATAGAAGAATTTCAAAGGCTGTCCCGGCTGCGTCGTTTGGTCCGCCGACAGCGCAGGCGACGCGACTTGGCGCTTCTGAAGGCTAGCGAGAAAGCAAGAAGAGTAGCCGCAAGGATAGCAGCGCAAACACCCCCCAACTATACATACGTAGGCCGCACGAACGGTCACGACGTCTGGCACCTCACAGCCACCGGCCACAGAGGCCCACCCAGCCAGCATCCCATGGCAATAGGGGCCCCAATACCTTACGACGCCGGCCTACACCCAGCTCACTACTACGAGGGAAATGAACGACTGGGCCACATAGCTCAGAGCAAGGAAAGGGAAGCAGCAGCATCGCCCGCGGCGCACGCGACCCCCCAGGCCCATATGAGGGGCTCTGACGGACAGCAAAAAATGCACAATCCAGCATCAGCAACAGCAGAAATGACGGCAAGAGCCAGAACGGGGGATACAGAAACAGCAGCACCAGCAACGGCAACAACAACAGCCCGCACGCAGAGGAAGGAAGAGGAGTGAACGTCAAAAAAATTAAAGGTGGCGCAAGAAGGGCATATGGAGCACAACCCCATAACAGACGAAATAAACAAGCAGACAAACAACGGGCCGCCAACCCTCCTCTTTCGTTCCGTCCCACATTTCACCACGGGAAAGCTGGAAGAGTAAAATCAACAGGCGTAAAAGACAATGCAGGCAGAGCCACCTTGTGTTTCTGCGTCTTTTCTAATGCTCACAGGAGATGCGATTGGGTTAGACATCAGGACAGAGACTCCCGCCTGTGCTTTCTCTGTTGACCTTCATATAGTGAGCTGCTCGTTTGCCTATTTGCGTATCCTTGTTGTTCCCTGTTTGCTTATTTTTGTGTTTTGTTCTGGTGCACCTGCGCGCAACCAGCTCAGCAACAGCTCCACACACTATCCTCTGCGGCGCGCCTAAGGCGCCTCTATGGCCCCCAGGACTGCATGCATGCAAGACCGTTTACGGCCTCATTCTATAAGTTTTCTGATGTTCAGGGGTCTTATATGCCACTGTCTATGAAGAGGAGAGAAGGCGGCGTTGGCTTTAATCGAGTTGCCCCTGGGTAACGGCAGTCGCCTGCGTTGCTGCGGCCTCAGCAGATGGGAGCGGCGTCTGTACGCACACCACATATTATTGGCACTATCATACATATGCCTGAGCAGACAACTCTGAGCAAGATTGCACCTTTTCTTCAAGGGGCCCATCTGGATGGGGTAGCTGGGAGTGGAGTGACAAGTGAGGGCTAAACGCAAGGGAAAACCGCTTCTGTTGTCTCCTTCCTCCCTGCAGCGACACAGATATAGTTCAGCAGAGATAAAATGCCGTCGTTTTCTTGCTTTATGAACTTACGAAGGTCGTTGTTGTCCCCGGAGCTACAGCCGACGAGCCGCGTAGTGTACGCGGCTGTACTAAAACCCACAGGGGAGGGTCAACCCAAAACCCTTCATTGGACAGAGTGTACATTCTTTAGGTATCCAAATGAGTGAGCCATGAGTGGCCCAAGTCGAAGACGCTCTTTGTCCCTTTCTCTCCTCCCCAGCCATTTTTACCCTGCGTTTTGCCCCTTGTAGACTCCTCTTCACCTTGTTTCGTTCCACCATTTGCTGCTTACCCTCTATTATAGCCACCATAAGGAATGAGACAACTGACAAGGGGGATGAATGGGAGGGTGGAAGAAATGTGTTGTGCTGTGAATTGGGTCACCCATGGCTCACTCATTTGGACACCTAAAGAAGTTACAGTCTGTCCAGTGAAGGGTTTGGGCAAGGCCGCTACTTGCTCAATCAAAGATTTCTCGCGAGTTGGGCTCTATTTGCAATTTTGGGGGGGAGTGCTTATCATATTCGCAAGGAAGAATGGCGCTGTGTTGCCCATTCGCTGCACTCTCCCCCTGCTTGTCGTTTGGCTCAGGCTGCCACCTGTCGAGTCTGTGCAACTTAAACTCAGCGGCCCAAATAAGCCCCACATAGCTAGAAGCGGCAACTATCGGCAAATGCTTTTCTAGATATTCCTCTTGCAGAATGCATGCAAAAAGAGCGTCGGTGCATCACTAACACTGAAGAATATACGGCTCCGTAAACAGACACCGCGGGATATAACCATTAGGCAGAGCCTCTTTGCTTTCTTCCCATGAAGGCAGCGAAGCCTCCAGTCCGGCGAAATTCCAACTGGAATATAGCTTCGTAAGGCATTCTTTCATTCAGAAGTAGTGTGCGACAAGCTGTCGTGTATGTGCCGTTGCCTAACCACGGGGTATGAAACCGTGGAGGGCCTTCTTATGTCCGATAAAAGTACTTTGTCTAAACGGCCAATTCAGCAGCACGGGATGGAGATTTGTCATTTCATCTGTATGCACTGCAACGAATCTTGAGCGTTGGTCACGTGTCCACTACGGGGCCACTCTAGGCGCAACCTTCTGCCGTTTATTCCCGTTGAAAGCTGAGCATTGTAATCTTCCCCTTGGCGCCTTAACAAATCAGGCTCAATAAGATAGCTTCAAAAAAACTTCGCATCCCGTATAGTCAAAACACATCTAGAGCGTGCCCAGGAATGCCGTGCAAACAGCGCCCTAGACCACCGGTGACAACTGTCTGCCGCTGCACTGTGGGAATTTGGGGCTTGTGGCAGTGTAGGTTGGGTGGGGCCCGTTGGTAAAGAAGCTGGTGGGCGGTTAGGACTCTCGTGTTACGTAGGTTCAACTTAGGTTGTATTTTTATTGGTCGATTGATAAGTAATAATCTTTTCTCCTTTCCCTTTTGGGGTTACTGGCTCTCTTCCTCAAAGCCTCTGCATCTTTCACTCCTTCGGGCCCAAGCAAAGGTCAGTTGTCTTATTTCTTTCCTTCTTCCCTTCCAGGGTCTTTCTGCTTGCTCAAAAGGAACTGTGGGCCCTTTCCCCCCTTCCGCACCAATTCCCTGCCTTGTTTTTCCTTGGTGGGCAGCATTTCCATTCACGAGTAGATGGGAGGGGAGGCGTCTTGGCGCGTATACATTTCCTACCATCCACCAGCAGCGCCTTGAGAGTGAGGGCGGACAGGGGGGAAGGGGGTGGGGGTGGGGG